TCGAGTCAGAATAAAAATGGCATACTAATAACAGAGTGTACATACCGAGTTGCCAAGGTAATCCATATGGCGTTTATTTGAGCTCTATATCACACAAAACAAGGAGATAGAATCCATGAGAGTCCCTTTTCGACGACAGCGTTCGTCACCGCTGTCTCGGAAAACAAGGAGATCGAGATGACAAGGAGAAAATATTGACCTCTGAAATTTAGTTCAGGGATCAAACTACTCATCCGGTAAGGGTCCACAAGGGTCGCGCGTGCATATTCCATTCAGCAGGCCAGCCGGTCATGGACAGACGGTCTTGGCCAAGGACCGCCGGAGCAACGGTGCGCCGAGTCGATGTTGCTCCTAGGCCTACTATATTCTGCCGAGCTCGCTCGGTCGGCAGAATCGGCCGTTGTAGCTCTTCTCGTGTGTTTGTGGATCCTGCGTTCTTGATCGTCGTGGTCTGTTTTAAGTACTCCTTCCTTTTTTCTTGCTGGTTGAAGTCGGGACGCACGAGAAGAGCACGAAGAAAGATAAATGTCCGTTGGTGGCCGATACCAAGTAACAGAGCGACGCTGTCGGCCTTGTTGACTTGATCGTAAAAAGTGCGTAAGACAGCTTCGGAGCTGTCGTAGGATTCTGTCGTAACCTGCGCAAAGGTTACGACAATTTCGTTTCGAGAGCACGGGTTTTCTCTGAAATTTGTCGTACGCACTTTTTTCGTCGTGAATTCGCTTTGAGAATCCAGCCTAAGAGCTGGTTTTGTCAGTGCTGCCGTGGTTGCCGACTTGCCGTGGTCCCGTGGTGCAGCGTGCGTGCAGCCCTTGCACATCTCAAACGGCCACGTTGTCACAGGTCGTAAATCGTCGACGCGCCACCAAGTGGCAACGCTCGTAACCACAACATTCACGCCGTAGCCTTTCCCGACTGGCACAAGTGACGTCACGAATGCGCCCAATATCCCAAGACGCATCGCGCTCTCCGATGGCCGATTTTTGAGCGCGCGCCCAATCGGGCCCATTAGGGTGAAAAATATAGCCATCCGTTCAAAATACAAGCGCGCGATTATGATTTATGAATATCATTGATCATATTGAACCTATTTCTGACCATAATAGGTGTATTTCAAGTTTCGCTTCAGTATCCCTCTAAGGCCGGTTCTCATACGCAGATAAGCGCTGAAGTAGCGCTGCTCACGTGTCGTGAGCTATTTTCGTCTGCCATGAGCAACAGTTTTGACGGTGCGATACAAATCTGTTGAAAGCTCCCGTCAGCAAGCGCTTAGCTCTAGGTCAGCGCTATGCTTGTAGCTCTCTGCTGCATGTGTGAACAGGCCTTTATGGTAAAGCGATCCTGCAAGGGTCTGCAAAACACAAAAAAAATAAGCCATCGGTAGAACTGGCGTTTTGCTCGATACGATTGAACATCAGGTCTCTGTGCTGCATATCAAAATAAGCAACCATGGTGCCAAAAAGAATAGAGCATGGCGCGCGCTTTGGAAGCTAAAAAACGAGCTCAAACTAAACGACTTTCTGAAGCCGTAGGTAATGAGTACACCATAAACAGAAGTACTTCGACATACCTTAATCGAGTTCCCTTGTCTTGTGACTTCAGAACAGATCAAGTGCACTGTTGCAGCACCGCGAATCCAAACCGGATCCCGCAACGATCGGAGACGACACAGGGAGAAAAAACGGCGACCAGCTTCTAAGTTCTGACGAAGGCTGTACTAAAAACAGGTTCTTTCCAAACAAAGACCCTTCCCATTTTCCCGACGGACCCTCTCTGCCCCATCTGCCCAACCCCCCGCGTGAGCGAGGAGCGCAAGAAAGAATGCGGGGTAGGGAGTTGGTGGGAGGGGGAAGGGCGCGCACACGAAAATCTCTTTTCCCCCTCTCACTACACACAACACACGGACACAGCAATGAACCAAGGACGGGAAAAGGTCGAAGGTCACCATTTTCAACACGCCCGTCAAGTGACGTACAAGCAAACACGTTTTTTTCTCTCTCTCTCTCTTTCTTTTTTCAGTGTTCTGGGGGGCCTTTTTTTTAGTTCGCATTTGTTTTGTATTAGCAGGGTGTTGCCATGGATGACGTTCCGGGGGCGGTTCGTTCTTCGTTGTTCATCTGGAATGTTATCTGAAACAGCGATGACGATCGTATGAAGGCGTCTAGATACTGCCCCTGAATGGGCTTTTTAAATGGAACGCGCCGTGCATGAAGTGTGTCGTTGCGGTTTTTGAGTTCGACATTGGACTACCAAGAAAGGTTGGTTACGGGGAGACGCAGAGACGAGGCTCGACTTGTTCTCAGTAACTCAGTTTTAGCGACTGAAGTGACCATTTATTCTGACTCCGAGACTCCGGTGTTGAAAGCGCGTCTTCTTAAGTTTCATTTAAGAGAAAGAAAGTGTTAGTATTTGGAGGTGTTGCGTTTGGATATATACTCATTTTTTGCGCGAAGGCAAATTACGTAAATGGGACTTGTGAAATGTCAACAGATCACTTTTGACAAGATAGTTGGGTGAAGTAGAATCAACACATTCGTTGACTCGCATTCGCACAACGCACGAAGTTCTACCATGTAATGTCTAAACGTTCGTTGCACATTAAACAAATTCGCCAGTTTCGTCCTAGTTTTGGCAATATTTTCAGCCGTGCTGGGCTGAGTCTCGCCGATCCCCAAGACGAGCGAAATAGCATCCGCCCTCTTGGTGAACATTCCGTTTGCCTTCGCGGACTAATCATACAGATGCACCCTGCCTGAGGGGGACTAATGGATGCTTTTGCTGGCCCGCGCCTATCGGTTAGTCCCAGTCGAGCGCAGTTAGTCCCCAGCTTTTGCGCACGGTACCTAGCTTGAACCAGATGGTCCTTTCGGGGATTAACTGGGAGTTCAGAGGACCAAATGCAGCCGTTAGTCCCTTGAGGCCAACTTTTTTCTTAGAGTGTACGTGCAATCGCGCAGATCCCCACACTTTTGAAATGAACCGGTCCGCTGGGACGTTTTCTTCCCTCGTACGGGCTCCGATTCTGGTAAATTTACGGTGTGGGTGAGCTGCTGACTGTCCAAAAAGGAACGCAGAGACTTTCAGAAGGGAAGGGAACCGAAAAAAATCCAGTCATCGCCGCAGGGAGCGCACGCGAGCAAGAGATGGGTCGACGACGTTAAGCCTTCCACACTGCTGCCGCTGCTCTCGTGTGTGTGTGTGTGTGCGTGTGCGTGTGCGTGTGCGTGTGCGCGTGCGCGTGCGTGTGCGCGTGCGTGCGCGCGCGCGCGTGTGTGTGTGTGTGTGTGTGTGTGTGTGTGGGTGTGTGTGTGTGTGTGTGTGTGTGTGTGAATGTGTGTGTCTGTGTGTGTGTTCTTTTGTTCCTTCCGGTAGTTTCTTGGTCGTCACTGCAGTCTCGGGTAGTTTTTTTTTTTTTTTTGATACTACAGCATTTACGTGGATTCGCGGAACAAGTCGTGCTACGGTTTGTGTGACACGTGTGGCAACTAGCTAACGATGACACTGGTCGATTATCGATAGACCTCTCTTGCGACAGATAGAGACTTAAAGTTCGTGTTGAATGTTTTGGTCACGGATATAGTGGGACGTATGGATACGATCGACAGGTGAGAAACAACTTATTTACGGGCTTTCTTGGTCATGTGGGACGCGAGTAAAGTGCTGCAGTCGTCTTTTTTTTTTTTTCGTGATAGAATGGCATCTTGTTCGTCGTTATCCGTGTGCGGTTGCGTCGACATTTGTAAATATGCGTGGTAAGATTCTAGTTTTCACTGGAAGCTGAATAACAAGTTTGTGGAATTGCAGAAAGTGCGTTGTTCGTGATTATGTGTTTATTTATACTAATGTTATTATTCTATGGCCCTTGCCGCTCTTATACCAGAATCTTAACTGTATTAAGGTAATAGTATTATTGATTACAAAATAAGATATTTTGTTCTAAGGCAGCTCGAGCCCATAGGGAGAAGTAAGTTAGTTGACTGTAAATAGTAAGTTTAGTACCCCTGCCACACGGAAAAGTTAAGATATTTTTTTATTAAATGATATGGGATATAAAGGGAAGCGGGGGCACTTCTGCATTTGAAAAAAAAAAAAAACACTTGAATTGCGTTCATTTCATCTTTAGAATAACAGATAGCAAAATTATATTTCAATGGGACGCGCCGGAGAGCCATAAGAACAATTTCAAAATAGGGCTGAAGCCCCGCCCCCCTAGCCTTGGGCAGCCAAAAGATCCGTCGATGTCATCACGTACAGCGACTGTCTTTCGCGTTTTCTCGCGTTTAAAAATACTTGCGCAGCGAATGGTTTGGGTATTCGGGTTCACGTGGTAAAAATACAGTAAAATTCACTTTTAACTCATTTTTTTCAAGAACCTCCATAGCTTCCCTTTAATCAGCTCGCGGTCTTAAGTGATTATACTAGCGTCGCAAGCTGATTTGTCAACCCCATAATCTTATTCGATCGGAATTACATTATTTTGCCATGTGGCCAGGGTATGATGCAAGAATTCAGTGACTGCAAGCGATAACATCGCTTACATGATCATAAGCGACCTTTGTCTAGCCGTGTCCGCGTTGACTACGTCTACCTGATTTTTAGCTGATCTGGGTTGCTGTGTCCAATCACTGCGTGTCAAGGTGATTGAACACAGCATTTTTGTCGAAGTATTTCTGTGTAAAATATGCATTCCTACAGCAATAACTGCGTGACTCAATGTTATCTCTTATACGCCTACTGCGTAGCATTTTATACCGATTATTTGGCGGTGTAATATTTTGCCCGTGTAATAAAACATTTTCGATACCCCTTTCTATGTGCAGCTTTTATTTTAGCTAATAAGACACGCGTATATGACTAAAAGTGCGTTACGACGGTTGATCCGCGCGCGTTGCCTTAGCTCCCACGCGCGCCCCCGATAGCCTTGCTTCGCGACTTCACGAGAAGAGCGCTACGGCCTTCTCTTTTACGAGGTGTTGATCGGAAGGGGCGTATCTGTCAAGTACGCAGACCGCAAACGGTATTCTCCATCCCGGTCCGCAGGCTGCGAGTAGTCTGGGACACTGCGGAAGGGGAGAGGGAAATCTCCTCTCTTATCCAGCGTCTGTGACGTGTGGGCGCCGGTGTATATCGCTCAGCTGCAGAGCACGATGAGCGGCTATCTGGAGGACCTGTCGGATAGACAACGGGCAGCCCTCGACCGGGTACGTATGTACTCATCCATATGGAAAGTTTTAGTTTTCAATTCAAGCTTTATTGTTCCAGATATACATTGGAGGGACCTCCAGACAAAAAGCTGCTATATAAGCAGCTTGACGGGGTCTGGGGTCCTGTAACAAACGGCAGCAGCAACTTCACGAAAATATCATATATACATTCTGTAAAGAATATGACATCACAAATTAATACATTTCTCACGCCACAACGTCAAACCAACATGTAAAAAAACATTTCATGTGGTTTTAAGCAAAGTATGTCCGAAGTTTATTTTTAGGAAGAGTGAAAAGATTGCTACTATGAAGACGCTATTTATTTAAAGATGTTGGAATGTTGTAGTGAGGGATTGAAGACTATAGTTTGTGCGATTTCGAGGGACCAACTATTTCTCTGGAAAACGTGTATTGATTGTGCTTTCATGTAAAGTTAGTTCGGAAGTGTGATATAAAAAATTCACAAACGTGGAAGATGAGAAGCTGATTGAATGAAGTAGGCGGAATTCCTAGAAGTGTTCTACACGAATTACTTTACATTTATGAAATAAGGATTCAGTATGATATTTATACGAAGCATCCGCAATAAAACGCCATATCTTTTTTGAAGTAAAAAAATGCTATTTAAGTTTGCCTTTGTAGTTGTTCCCCATACCAAGTGACAGCAATTCAAATGGGAATTAAATAAGGCGTAATATATTTTTAGCTTAATGTTTACCGGCAAAAAACTACGGCACCTAGCAACTGCCCAAACTACTTGAGAAAGCTTTTCCGTTAAATATTAAATGTGGAAATTCCACATCATATGTTCAGAGAAGTATACGCCAAGAGTTTTGTGTTGATTTACTATTTCAATTGACGCGTTTCCAATCACTAGGAGATTTGTAATATTTACTAAATTATTAGCGGGTCTAAACAGAATTGCTTTTGACTTTAATGTGTTAATTTTTAACCCACTGACATCTGACCAAAAGAAAAATTTTTCTAAAACGAAATTTGCCCTTCTTATAAGTCATCAACATCATTACTGAAAAAAAATTCTCGTATCATCTGCATAACTTATAAATTGAGCTTGATCAGTAATGTTTACTACATCGTTTATATAAGCATTAAATAATAAAGGTTCCAAGGATACTGCCCTGTGGGACGCCACAAACAATGTTTGAGAACGGTGAGCGTTGGCCGCCAATAGACACACTTTGCTGGCGATTCTCTAGGTATGATTTAAGCAATTCAAATGATATGCCGCGAACCCCATATTTATAAAGCTTCGAAAGTAGCGCTATATGATTGAGGCAATAAAAAGCTTTACTATAGTCGATGAAAACAGCAAGTGTGTGCAGTCTTTTTTCAATATTTCCAAGTATAACATCTCTCTGTAGTAACAATGCCGATTCAGCAGAATTACCTTTTTGAAAGCCAAATTGAAACTCTGTTTGTATAGAATATTTTACGAAAAAATGTTCAATACGTTCAAATATAATTTTTTTCTAGCATCTTGGAGAAAATAGGAAGAATAGAAATTGGTCTATAATTACACAACATGTTTTTATCCCCTCCTTTAAAAATAACTGAGATTTTAGCTAGTTTCATATTTTCAAGAAACTTACCAGAAGTGAAAGACAAATTGAATATATATGTTAAGCATGGTGAGATTATATCTATAACAAATTTAATAGGTTTTTATCTGTAAATCATTAATATAATAACTCTTAGTATTTTTTAGCCCAATAAAAGTAATAAATATTTCTGTTTCATCCGTAGGTTTTAGAAACAAACTGCAACTGATTTCGTGAACAAACAATAGAGCACTGTCACTGTGCGGGCTGGGTGTTATATTTACGAAATAGTCGTTAAAGAATTTAGCCAGAGAGACTCCAGACACAGTTTGGCCATCTACAATTAGGTTACCTATTTGTTTTGAGATTGTCCCGCGGTTCAGAGCTTCATTAACTTTTTTCCACATAATATCAGATCGTTGCTTGTCAACGCCATTAAACATTTCTTTGTAGTACACAGATTTCACTTTTCGCAATTCAGCGGTTAACTCGTTTCGAAATTTCTTAAAGATGACTAGTTTGTTTAAATCCCGTGACCTTAAAAACGCCTGATATAGGCAGTCTTTTCTTTCATACAGTAACTATTACTTTCGGAAAGTGCAAATAGTAAAGCATCTTGAATGTTTAAATAAGTGATTGTATGCATTGTTTACATCTCGGAGGGAATAAAGAAAGTCCCAATCTTGGCTTAGTACGGCATTAAGAAATGCGAGAATATTAGAATTTGAAATGTTCTGAAATGTTATTATATTTATATTTTTATTTACCAGTTCCTTGAAATCGTGATTATAAAAAGACAGAAATATTGGACTGTGGTCACTGATGTCACAACTTACTGTGCCAGCAACTTTAACGTCTGTATTAACATTACTGATAAAAATATCAATGGAATTAGAAGTAGATAGGGTTACTCTAGTCGGAGATGTGATGACATTTCTAAATCCGGCGGAGTTTAGTGTAGTCGTGAGTAGTGAAGTTTGAACCGAATGTTCAAGTTTATTGACGTTAAAGTCACCCCCCAGTATTAAATTATACTTATTTACCGACACAAATTCTAAGAATTGCTCAAGAAAGGAAACAAAGGTTTCAAAGTTTGCTGCTGGCGGGCGATATAAAAGAAAATATATTTTATCCTTGTTTTATGGTTTAATATCTCGTAGTCGCTTGTTATTTTTGAATAACTATCCAGTAGCTCCGCATGAATGTTATGTTTGAGGTAAATCGACACACCACCACCACGCTTATTACTACGACGTAAAAAGCAATGTTCATAACCATCTAAATTGAGCATATCAGCGTCTTGCTGATACCATGTTTCAGTAAACATATTAGTATCGAATGACGCCTGAATTTCATCGAAAAGTGAAAAAGTTGATAAAATCTATTTTTATAAACCGTGCATTCAAGTGAAAGACCGATGTAACAGATGGCTGTATAAGGTAATCTTATTTCGCTAGGCAACACACATTCCACGTATTCTATCAAGAAAAAAAAAAGAGAAAAATTAGTAATTTGCCACAGAGGCACTGATTACGCTAACTAATCTTAACAAGGTCAGCTTCGTTAGCGATGGTGATGACAGGTGCATGTTCAGCTTTACGTGCGAGGACTTTGCCATTTTGTACCCAAAGAAATTTCCAATCGCATTGCCGCTTTGTTACCGTCATTCCAAGGATTTGTTTGATAGTTGCGCAAAGATGTTCATTCACAAAGATGGGTGCTTGACAAGGAACGCCTAGGTCTGAGTTTATAAGGCGTTTCTTTTTTGATTTTCCGAGCACCGCGTCACGTTTTTTTCGGTTCATAAACTGCACAATGATATTGATCATTTCGGCGTCTCGAGTCAGTACGCGATGACATGCGGCGATATTAGCACACGTGATCGGCTCGCCGATCGCACCCCCCAGTTCATCAAGCATATCGCAAAGGTGTTCCTGATTGCGCTTCTCGACACCCTTTATCTCAATGTTTCCGTTCCTAGAATACTGTTCGCCCGTTCCCGTTTCCGTTCCCGTTTCCGTTCGAATACTGTTAACCGTTCCTGGCACCTTCTTCAGTTTTTCCACCATTGCTTCACACTTTAGGCAAAGATTTGCGTAGTCCTTTTTCAGGTTTGCATTTTCTCTCATGACGATTTGAAGGTTCCCCCTGATTTCTACAAACGTGGTATTCATGAAGGTCATGATCTCTTGCACACCTTTCAACTCCGTTCGTATTACACGAATATCTGTCCGTATGTCTCTTTCGGAAGATTCACGTAAATTCTTAAATTCTTGAGGAAATTCCTTTTTGGAGTCATTCAATATTTTTATAAAATCCTTCGCCATTCAAATAAACAAAGCAGTAATCGAAGGACAGGGAGTGAACAACGCACTTTTAAAAACGTTTACAAAAAAAATGAGGCAGTGCAAGTTTGCGAGCGGCGACGTAAGACATTGCTGAAGTTTGCAAGTAAAAAGAACAGTACACAAACCTGCAAAACGGTTGGTTGTAAGCATTGCTCTTATCCGTCGCCGCTACCAAGTGCCAGCATACGAGCAGGCAGTCTTCTTTTGCAGTCAGCGCAGGCGACACTGGACCGTCTTGACCAATGGCTGTTGATCCTATTCGAAGCTCCGTCACGCTGCCGCTTCATGGTTCCGTAGGCTTGCGCCGGGAAAAACTGGCTGGCTCGGAAAACGGCCAAAAGGCAGTCGTCTTTTGTAGTGCAGAGCAGGCGACACTGGACGGTCTTGACCAACGGCTGTTGTTCCGGTGCGATGTTCCGTCACGCTGCCGCTCGGTGGTTCCGTGGGCTTGTGCTAGGAGAAACTGGCTGGCTCTGGAAAACTGCCTACAAAACAGCAGGTTGTAAGCGTTGCTCTTATCCGTCGCCGCTGCCAAATGCCAGCATACGAGAAGGCAGTCTTCTTTTGTAGTGCAGCGCAGGTGACACTGGGCGGTCTTGACCAATGGCTGTTGATCCTATTGGAAGCTCCGTCACGCTGCCGCTTCATGGTTCCGTAGGCTTGCGCCGGGAAAAACTGGCTGGCTCGGGAAACGGCCAAAAGGCAGTCGTCTTTTGTAGTGCAGCGCAGGCGACACTGGACGGTCTTGACCAACGGCTGTTGTTCCGGTGCGATGTTCCGTCATGCTGCCGCTCGGTGGTTCCGTGGACTTGTGCCGGGAAAAACTGGCTGTTTCGGGAAAACTGCCTACAAAACAGCTGGATGTAAGCGTTGCTCTTATCCGTCGCCGCTGCCAAATGCCAGCATACGAGAAGGCAGTCTTCTTTTGTAGTGCAGCGCAGGCGACACTGGGCGGTCTTGACCAATGGCTGTTGAGCCTATTTGAAGCTCCGTCACGCTGCCGCTTCATGGTTCCGTAGGCTTGAGCCGGGAAAAACTAGCTGGCTCGGAAAACGGCCAAAAGGCAGTCGTGTTTTGTAGTGCAGCG